AGGGACCCGCGGTGCCCGAGGGGCCCCGGGCGAGCCGCCGCGGCCAGAGCGAGGGGAGCCGCGTCCCCGCCCGGGCGCAGCACCCGGCCGCGCCGCCGCGAGGACTGGAGAGGTGACGGGGAGCGCGGCGGCGCCAGGCCGGCCCCGGCTCGGGTTTCATCCTCATTGAAACACAGCGCTGCAGATCTTCGCAAAAAATTCTGCGTTTTCCCTTCTTTCTGTTTTTAAGAGAAACTTGTTTTGGGGGGTTACCCCGGGCATCTGCTCTGCCCCGCAGTCGGACAGTGGACTCGGCTCGTGATGGTTCTCCTGTCACTTTGGCTGATGGCCGCGCTGGTAGAGGTTAGGACTGCAGCTCACGGACAAGTAAGTGGAAAATAATGACAATAAAAACTCAGACCCAGCCTTTTCCCGAAAAGTTCCTCCCTCTCTCCCCTCCACTTCCCTCCCCGGCCCACCCTCCCGGCTCGGAGCGCTGTCGGCGCCGCGCGGGGTTTTGGGGTGAGGGGGCAGCCGCGACCTGCCCGGGACCCCGCGGGTCGCACCCGGGGCTTCGCGGCGTTGCGGCGCACGGGGCCAGGACCGGCGACCGCGGGGGCCGCTCCGCATCCTCGCGGGCCGCGTGGGCGTCCCCGTCCCGGGGCCGGCTGGGAGCGGGGGTGCGTCAGGCGCTGCTCCGGGGTCCCGTGCCCGGTGTGGCCGCCGGGGTCGGGCTCGCGGGGCTTCTCCTCGCCGACTGCGGCTCACTCAGGCCCCGGGGGCGGGGGCGCAGGAAGTCCCGGGCCGGACCGGGCGCGATCCAGCAGACACGTGTCGGGAGGACCGCGGCGGGCAGGGCTTTGACAGTTGGGGAGGGGGCCAGGACGTTTCCTGCCCGCGTTTTCACGGGCAGCGGCCGGAGGCGCCGGCGCCGCGTCCCCTCCCCCCCGCGCGACTCCTCCGGGCAAGAGAGCGGGGCTGAGCGCGGCTGTTCCCCTCGGCCCTGCCCCCAGCCTCGGAGACCCAAGGTGAAGGCCGACGCTCTCCGAACCGGGTCCTGGCGCGAGCTCACTGGCCCAGCCCAGCCGCCTGTAGCAAGTCTCAGCCCGGGGCTGCTGGGACTCTGGGGACAGAATTTGCGAGTTTCTGTGGTCTGCCTGGTCTGACCAGAGGGCAAAACGTAGAGAATTGTCTCCTTGACTCCAGACTTCAAATCTGATGAATCGGCCCCCCTTGTAGGTTTCTGTCTGTCTTCTTAAATTGAAGAGACTTTTCTTTTCTAATCCGGACCCAGTATGGGAGTTTTCGGAAGAGACCATTGAGTGTCACTATTTATTTTTCTGGCTTCATAAAAGATAAATTAAAATTAAGACGGCCAAACAGCTCCCTTCCCCAATGGTTACTGAATTGGCTCACGCTCCTGTCACAAGAACCGTCTGCAAACCGAGGTGCAGCCTGTAGGCTCCAGTCCCAGTCTCTCGCGTCTCCTGATAGCTAGCTTCTGAAAAGCATTAATGGTAGAAATAAACGCATGGGGTGATAAGATGAAACCCAGTAACTGTTTCTTTTTCTTACTTTCCCCCTCCTTTCCAGGCTGGTAATGAAGAAATGGTGCAAATAGGTAAGCCTTGTTCTCAGATGTCACTCTTATCTTAGTGGAAAGTAGGGAGTGGAGTAAGCTAAGCAAAATATTGTTTCTGAAATTTTTCCCACTGGTGGTTAAAAAAATAATCTGTGGTCCAGAAACATTTCTATTCATCTGGTTCTCTTTCTGGAAGAGGGTCCCACTTGCTTCAGGCTAAATTATAGTGATGGAGAAATTCTCCTGCTTTTGGACTTTCACACCTCAGTTTGTCACTGTCTTTCTACAATCCACGGGTGTGTACTTGGAGGGTGATGGAGAGGCTGGAAGATGTGGAGATAAATAAAATCATATTGTCAACTTCTGTAACAGTAGGAGCAACACATCTGCTGAGAACAGAAGGCAAGTCGTAAGAATGCTACACGGAAGGGGGAAATGAGGTGTAGAAGATGAACATTTTTCTGTTAAAATGCTTTCTGCTTTGGGTAATCCTTTGATCACTTCTTTTAGTACATCTGCTTGAAAATAATTATCTCCTATGTGCAAGATACTGTTGGGCCTTTTGTAAATGACAAAATTTCAATATTACCTGATATTGTGGGTATTATTCCCACATATTACTCCCATGTATGAGACTGAGGTTCCGAGAGTGTGTCTTGCAGCAAGTCACTCTAAAGTCCCTGGTCTTTTCTGAAGCTGTTTAGAATAATACTATATTTGTTCTGAATGCAGAGACTGAAAGTCATCTGGCAAGAAGCCAGGCTGCATTCAAAGACTTTTAATACACAGTTTACTAAGATTACTTTAAAAGATAAATTTTCCTTTTGGCAGAGTATCAGTCTCTGTAAATTCTGTATTTGTCAAGTGGTATTGCAAAGCCATCATTTAGAAAGAAAGTTTGTATTGTTGCTATTGCAGCCTTCGTTACAAGTAATGGGCTGTATAAATGCAGGCTGAGTCTTAACTGCTTCATATGCATCATATCCCCTCATGCCCACCGCCACACTTTGAGGTAGGGATACTATTGTGCCTATTTTAGAGATGAGGAAAATAAAGCTTGAGAGGTCACACAGCTGCCTGTTTTAGTACATGGTGGAGATCCATGCTTCTTAACTAGAGGGCTATACTCAAGGTTGAGACCCAGAGGTGGATACAAGCAGTGTGTTATTTGCATATAGGTCAAAACGCTCCTTCCTGCCCAGGGCTTCACACTGTCAGATACGTTCCCCTAGCTCTGCCTTGGATAGTGGAAGCAGAGCAGAGGAGAAGAGAGGGACTGAGAATTGCACTAAGAATATTCACGCATCAATGGGAGACATTAGTTAGTTGTAGTTGATAGCATTCACCTGTCAGCCTGTATCTTATTAAAGAAGGAGTTCTTTAACCAATCCCTAAACAACTAGGGAAAAGAAAGCAGTCTTATTTTTACTTAAACATCCCAACTTTTCAATATGTAATTGAAAAAATGTTTTAAGATTACCCATCCCAACAAAGGACTATTCACAAAGTAAAATATATTGCTTTGATAAAATTTTCAGGTAGAATCAGGATGCTCCCAGGTAAGAGGCTGTGGGTTGGACTTTGGTTCAGTCTTGTTGTTCTCTGCGGGAGGGAAGCGGTACAGGTATACTTAAGTTTGGTAGGAGGAAGACCAGTCAGCAGTGTGGACAGAGGCGGGCGCGCTCTGAACGCTTGCCATTTCAATTTTTCTGCTACTTGCCTACTCCTCAGCTCTGATTTATTTAGGGTGGGAAAGAGGTTTGTGGATTACTTGTAATCATCTTACATATTTGTTGTGGTCACAATTTCACCAAGATCATCTGATAAAAAAGAGCTGGAAATATTCAAGTTCAGATTTTAGCTGAACACGTTAAGGAAGGGTGGCTCCCTGTTGTGACAGGGCACTTCAACACCTCCATAAACTCTGCGGCTGCACCGTCCTCGTTGTGAAGTGCCGTCACTTTCTTCTTCGTCACTAGTTTCAGGTTCACGGGAACTAACATTACTGCACATAGGAAGAGTTTCTTCATGCCCACTGTCAGCACTAACCCCTCCATCAACCTCACTGTCCTCAAAAACACATGCTGCAAAATCAACGTCACTCCCACGGCTTCTCCGGGCCATCTCCCTACATCACAGCCGCGCAAATACAATGCACGATCACCTGATCACATGGAAACCCGGGGCCTGCCGGAAACCGAGCGCCACCTGTGCTGTGTATTGGCCGAGTCCAGACTGAGTGCGCCGGACTCGCTCCAACAGGGGAGATAGGGGAGGGACGAACAAACTCAACTGCAACAGCCCCAGCCAGACACGTCAGGCTTCTTCGACGTCCGAGTGGAGCGGGATCATTTTGGCGGCCGAGGCATCATAGGATTGGAACGGCGAAGTTGCGTTGCTAGGGGTTGACTTGCCCTCACATTCCTCTGTTTTATGTGATGTCTCTCTCTTTAAATCATTTTTATTATCATTTTCAAGTTGACATTTTTATTATCATTTTCAAGTTGAATGAAGAGAAGAAAAAGGTTAAGAAATAGATTTTGGCTGACAACTTTGTGATAGCAAACACGCATTTGGCTTTCAGTTATGATAATTTGTGTGACTCCTAAGACAGACTTTAAAATGCCAGTGTAAGAAAATCTTATGTACAATAATAAGTTTCACTCCCCTGTCCCCAGGAGTAAAGGCAGGGTTAACCTAAAGTTTGGGGGAAATGTACTCCTGGACCTAGATCTCCCCCACCCCCCATAACTGACTTAGAAGTAGTTTATGTAGCTGCCTGGAGGTGCTGATTGATCAAGGCAGATCAGTAAAGGCTCATAGATTTTATTTATTTATTTATTCACTAGGTAAATTTCATGGCTCTGAATAATATTCAAATAATTAAAGGTCTCAGGAAGAAGTAAATATAAATTAATAATGAGCCACAATTCATTAAGAAGCAAAAATAAAAAACCCTTTCTGTTGACATACAATGTCCATGTAGGACTGGTGTCCAGGTGTGCGCTCGGTCTCCCAAGGCAGGGGCCCCTGTGTCCCAGCACCTGTGTCAGGCAGTGGGATGTCGCCAGCCCCTGCTCCTCTCTGCTCCTCTCTTATGCCACCTGCCTACCCCATCTCCTAACGACATGGAAACCACACTCTTGACTTCTAACAGGATAAATAAATTTTGCCATTTTTAAAGCTCTTTAATAAACAAATCCCACAATGGATATCCTTGAGTGTGTAGCTTAGGAAGTCAGTTTTTAAAAATATATATTCTGTGCTTCAAGCAGCTTTGATTCAGGCGTGGAGAAGCAGTGTGTGAGGGAGGCAGGGGAGAGTGTGTGTGGACACGTGGCCCCCATCATGTCTAGGTCAGGATGTCGCTTTTTCCTTCCCTCTTCCACCAATGGAAAAATACCTTCTTGGTATATGGGATAGAATGATTCACCTTAGAGCGAATGGGTCCATGGGTTTTGAACCCTGACCTAGTGCTATGCCTCTTTGTCAACTAAAGAGAACTCCACCTCCCCTGCATGTACACACGTGTCTGTGCATGTTTGTGTGTGTGCACGCAAGTGTGTTTCAGGAGAGACTGTCACATCTCTTTTCTATCAGGGCGTCTTTCATTTCTGACTCAGATTATGGCCTTGGGTGATTGTAGGCTGACTGGCCATACTGGGTAAGGAGGCTTGCTCTGTGACACACGTGGCTTAGGAAATAATCATAGTTCTGCAGAAATTGGAAAATCTTAAAAATAATTCTCTGAGTCCCTTTGTTTCATAAGCTACCTACCACCTTGGATTGCCTGAGTACATTTGAAGAAAAATCGTTGAGAGGCTTCAGTGCTAAATTGTCTCCCTCCCCCCCCTTAGAACTGGGCATGTTTATCTTTCTCTGCCCCAGGCCTGTTCCCCAGTTATAAATTTCATTCTTTAAAAAATAGAGTTGCTAATCTTGTCCTCTCAGACATCTAGTTTGGTGAGAGGTTATTTTTAAAAATAATTTTAAGGTGTTTATTTGGTTTTCAGGGCTTAGTGTGAGTCTTTACCTAGCTGTCTACTAGCAAGCACTGTCACTGCTGTGACCTACACCAGAGAAAGGCTTTGTATCGATGACACCTGTCTCTTCAGTATGTAACCCAGTGCTTGGCACCTCGTGGATCCTCAAACCCTTGTTTTTCGATTAATAGACCTAGCAAGCAGGGCATCATCATATTAGGATTTGTGCTGAATTTCTTTGAATACTCTTGTTTTCTCCCCATCTCCAGGTTTCATTGGGCCTCAAGAAAATGATGGTGACAGTGGCTATACAGTTAATTATTCCTGTGTCTCCTGTTCTCACTCCACAGAGTACAGAGACTTAGGCTCTCAGGTTTTTTATACTTTTCTGTTTGTACTTAACACATATTTGGCAAGTTGAGTAGAATTCTATGTACAATTTTGGAATGCCAACTAATTTCTACTTGGGCTCATTTGCCCCGTTGCTGGCATCAGTTGAAATAAGATAATCTGAGATTAAAATCTGTCAATCCAATTTGCCAGCAGCAATACTAAATAAAAAGTGATTGAGAAGGAGGTTTAAAGGGATCCTTTATAAAATTTAGAAACTCAGCTGCCCAATTTGTTATTCTTTATAACTAAAGATCATGTTGTTGGCTTTGCTGATGGAGCTTCCATCATCAGCCGAGTGTGCTTATGGCTGACATTAACTGCTTCAAGCTTCTTAGATGAAATTTTGTTAAGTTCAGCATGTTTCTATTTAGCTGAAATATTTCTTCCCCATACTTTCATTGGGTCTCCTTTTCACTGGACTAAATAATTATAATATTGCTCAGAAATGATAAGAAACCCTCGAGGTCACCTCTGCTTCTGTGGTGATATCCTTGAGCATTCTTTGCTTGTGAGTAGCCAACCCAGATTACCTTGGAAATCCATTAGGAACGATTCCACATTGCCTGGTAAAATCAAGAGTATTTTTGATATGAAGACCCTGATTATGCTACTTAGACTGGATATACTAACAGTAATGACCCAGTGGGAACTCTCAGGCTTCCT